CGCGGAATCGACTGCCGATATTCTCGGCAGAATTTGCGTTCTGTTCACTTAGGGGTGGTGGTTGAGCGTTCACCGAACCAGTTTCCTCGGTATTAGCAACCATTTGAGACAAACGATTTAAAATTGGCTCACTAATTGACTAGCCTATTGGTCCCAAGTACATCTATAAGCGTACCCCATTCTAGTCGAAATTCTAGTAATACACTATGTTTGTTTTGATTCGCTATGAAAGTTTGACAGTTAAAATAAGGGGTTCGTGGATTTTACTATGTTTCGAGGGGTGCATCGATTAGCTTGGGACCGAAGATAGTACCAGAGCTGAGCCAAAAAGTTGAGCACGTTTCTTCGGAACCTTTTGGACTTAGAGTTACCTCTATGGTTTTAGTCACCTTTCTCATCGGGAGAGGGTATTGCTGTTGCGTCTTTTCAGAAACATATGGGAATTCCGGAAGTGGAATAATATTTGTTGAATCTTAATCTAAATTTGAATTACTCAAGAAACCTTACCGCTCAACCAGCACATTGCACTCGGCACTCACTGAATGTTTAGCCATTAAGTTTCCCATTTCATTTAGTTTGCGCTTCCCAATTTTTGTTTCGTTCTGTACGTCGTTATATCGTTATTACAAATGCCTTTAAACTGCAACCCCAGAACGGTTCGTTTTAACTGTAAAACGAATATACTTATATATGTATATCGAAATCAACCATCGGCAATCGCAAGGCAGCCGGCGCTATCAGAAAAGTCAAAAATAAACAAGCCACAATAACTTGGTGAAGAAAGCCTTTCCAACTGCCACAGTTTAGGTATTTGCTGCAACGGCAATCCAGCTAGCTAACTGCTGAAAGGTGCACCCCTTTTGATCGATGCCCGTGGGCCAGAGTCATGGTTGGTTTGGTTACCTTGTGGATAACCATTGCAACCAACCGATGCTAACCGTCGCGATTCTCCTGTACATAAATTTAAACTTGAATTCACTCCTCGAAACTCGACGCGGATAATATATGTACGATTTGCCCCGATGAAAGCCATCGATAACCTTTACCTTCTAAACTTCCATTCAAATTCCCGACGACTACCGGGGTGTGCTATCTCAAAGTCAAAAGTAGTTTTCCTCACATGAGCCAGCTCCAATCTCACACTCCCACACTCGGCTATGGATTTTTCCATGTTTTCATTTCACCTTTCCGGTTCGGGTAGCACTGTGCTGCAAAATTTTCAGAAGGATTCCTGTACATTTTCGAAACGTGAATCGATCACACTAGTTAATAGTTGAAGCAAGCGCTATTTTTGAATGCTCGCATGGCAGCAGCGTCAAGACCTTGGTTCGAATCCCGTTAGTCTGAGTTAAATTTTGCCACACGATAAAGTTTTGTTTTTACGACCCCCATTCGAAAACACCTTCCCTCGCGTGTCTCATCAATCGTTTCCCCTCAGAAAATCAATTGGCACCCCATCATTTTCCCGCCGGCGGCAATAAAAGAGGGATCACATTCCTCCCGCAAAAATCACCACCAAACACCAATCCCTCTTTGTCGCGTACATGTAGCAGCAAAGCAACAATATATATAACTAGCAATAACAGCAATTGTCACCGCAAATCAAAAACCGCGACGCTCAAAGTGATCCAATTTCCAATCCAAAATCGAAACCATACTTGCAGGTCAATCTTTTATAAATGAAGGTATAAATAGGGTTTTATGTGGCAAACTCAGTTGTATGACATCAATACGTCAGCAAGGTGAGTACTTTTGATTTGAGCTATTGATTTGTTTGCTCTGGCCGCACATATCACCTCCACCCCCGATCTGTTTTTTTAGCAGAATCGTTAGTCATGTCGCGTCATTTTTCACGGATCGTTGTCATATCATCCACATTTTGCGTTCACCGGTTCACAGTGGTTGTCTACATTTATGTCGTCCACGTCGTAGATGTTATCGGATGTGGTCGTGAACGCTCTGCGCTTAATACGGATGGATAGCATCCGATTTTGGATTTGCACGCGGTTGCACTTTGAACTGTGTTTAGTCGTTTGTGTCATGATTTCCGGTGAACGGTGATTTTTTAAAAGGTTGTGGTACCATATCTACATTATGAACGAGGATGAGTGCCGCCTTTGTTCAAGACTTGCTAGTTAAAACGTGGCAATTAACTTAACTACCATAATAAAAATGTTACGGTTATTTTGCTTAACGACGTGTTCAAGGTATCATCCTAACTATATGTGTAAAAGTTGCACAATTTAGGTTATCGTTCGTTTATGGTATTTGTTTATTAGGGTAGTAAATAGTTATTCAGTCGATTCGATTCCCGGTCCGATCAAGGACTTTTTGACATAGAATACGTCTTACGGGAAGTTACTGGGGGTAAATCGAAAATCTAAAATTGCGACCGTCACGAAAAGGTGTAAGGTTATGAACGCTTATAACTTTGTCATTTATAGAAGAAATTAAAATCCAAATACACCAATCGATAAGAAATAACTCTCATAATTTGCTACAATCAACACTTTTTCAATTTTCAAAACTGTTTTCTTGAAATAAACGTTCTCCCCTAACCCAGTCGTCATAATCGAGTACCATTTGGTTGCACATCGTGCTGCTTGAATCTGAAAAGTTATAAAACAGAGCTGCTTTTGTGCCTCAACTCATTTTCGGTTCGGACGGCGGGCGAACAGGTAGCAGCAGCAGTAGGAAGGCAGCGGTTTCTGTCAAGCGCGCAGCGTTCGAGTTTTGCACCTCGAACCTTGCGCGTCGTTCTCGTCGAGATCACTGTCTGCTGGCAGCGCCGTCACCTCGATGGCGCAAGCGCTCCGAAGTGGATCAACCTCCTTGTCTGAATGATAACGATTACGCGTTAAGCTAGCATAGAGGTCAGTAGTAGTATTAGCCTTTGGTTGGTTCATCTCGAATAATCATGAAGTGATTTATATGCTCTGCCAATCAAAGATGGTTGTCACTGAGCAGTGATAACCATCTTTGATTGGCAGTCTAAACATACACTACCGATCATAAGTTTAAGGACACCCCCAAAAAAGCATGCAAATATGTTTTGTTCAATAATCTCTCATTTGACGTTCAATTTTCGATCTCCATAGGTTATTTGAATGGCATGAATGGTATAGCGTGAATGTTCTACTACTACTTTTATTTCAAAATTTGGCCAACCCAATCTGCGAAAATCAGTCACAATTCTTCAGAGTAAATTTTGAAAAATTTTGTAACTTTAGGTGAACTTTTAGCACACAAAATTTGAAAATTATATTGAAAAATTTGCCTACGACGAAAGTTCAAATGATCTAAAGAGAACGAAAATTGGACGTAACATGACAGAGATATGAACATAACAAATTTGTCATGTTTTTTTGGGGGTGTCCTTAAACTTATGATCGGGAGTGTATTGCTAAACATATTGCTAATTTGATAGACTATTGCAACCAATTTACTGAGTATTTTGTACAGCGTACATATTTATTTTTAATATGCCATTCAAAATGAGCAAACTTGTATATTTGACACATGGCTTATTTGACCCCACATTCTCCTTTAAATGTTTCCAATAGTTAATCAAAGCTCACTTACTGGGCTCTACATGGTATATTTGGAAATTTCCAAAGAAATTTTTTGTCTAATTTAGCCAATAAACCAGTTTAAATGCTTTCAATTTATAGAGGATTTTGGGGTAAATCAGGCGCTAAACATGTATTTATTTGTTCGTACACAGTATGAAAACAAGAACATTTGATGCTTGGATTCCTTTATACCGCAAGAAAACCTAAATCTCGTGTTAGCATTTCAGCGGCAGAAACTGTTCAATCAACAGAAATTTTTCAAAAAAAGTTAATTGTTTTGATATGAGATACCGGGAAAAATACGCTCAAAACATGCATTTGAATCAGTTTTGTCCTTTAGACTATTATAATCCACTTTCTGAGCATCTATTTTATTTTTACTTTTTAATATTGAGTTTAAATTCGGAAAACTTTTATATTTTATTACAAAATCTGACTTATTTGACCCCATGCTTTCCTATAAATGTTATCAATAGTTTTTAAAAGGCACAAGCTGACTACAAGAAGACAAATTGGCTATTTCTGATAAAAGGTACTGACTATTTGAATCAGTGAAGTATCATACTGGGACAGAACTACAGAAAATACGGGATTTTGGGGCAAAATAGGCTCCATACATGTACTTATCGCCGCGTGCGCCGATTGAAAATATGCAGAATAAAAATCTTGATATTTTTCCCAAAGGAAGTCATACCTTACAATGTGTGGTTTGAGCGGCAGACAATTTCAAGCCTTTTTGCTGCCAAAATCCCCACTGTACATTGTTTGAAAGGTGACCAAGTGAACTGAAAATTGTTATCGGCCTACGTCGATTCTAATTAAAAAAAAAATCATGCAAATTCACTTTTATGTGAGCCAACAGCTCTTTTTCCAATTCACTACACTTCAAGCGGATAGCATTCATAAACATCATGGACTTTAGACAATCAACTGCTAAAAATCTAACACCATTATACTGCCAAAGTGCAACCGTAACAAGCAAACTCCAAATTTCAAGGTACGTATTCGTAATTTGCGTTGACGGTAGTTTTGCTTCGCTCCCCGAATGTATGTCACTGCTTGCGGCTGCTGCACATTTGTTGCGTAAGCGTTAGATTTTTAGCCGATTTCAGTCCTTTTGTATCAGCTCCTGGCGCCTCCATCAATCCATCAGGTTCATATCCACGGGTTCTGTAGTTTAAATTCCACGGTAAAATTGCGGTAATTATTCAATTATTATACAATTTATTCTAGAGGACAGGGTTGAATTTTGAAATGTTAGACTGTAGCCGATGTATGTCATTGAGTTCATCATCTTGTTTAGTGGTCCATCATGCTAAATACTAGTATGTAGTATGCAGTATTTCTAATCACATAGCAGCACAATGTCACAAATGCGCTTCAATCCAAACTATCAAATGAAAAACCATTGTTCGATTTTACTTCCAGAAATCGCCACCCTCACGCACAAGTTCTCCTCGGTGACACTGTACAAAAATTCGACCGTTCGATATGCTTGTATGATGCACGCCATAATTGCCTGTCAGATGGAGTTCCAGCTGTACCCGATGGACATCCAAATTTGTCCAATCTACATCGAAAGCTTCTCCTATCACAATCAGAAAATTCGACTCAAATGGGCCGACAACGGTGTCACCATCAACCCGGAGCTCAAGCTGCTGCAGTACAACCTGGGGCAGCCACTACAGCTGGAGGAGACTGACGGCTATATGCCGGAGAAATACGGTTTGATTATGAACAATTTGGTCAGAAACCGAAAACGACTACTACCGATTACCGTTTTCAGGTAACTTTTCCCGGTTAGCAGTATATTTTCGATTCGAACGACAGATAGGGCACCACCTGATCCAAACCTTTGCACCTTCGACCCTGGTGGTGATGTTGTCTTGGTTCAGTTTTTGGCTTGGGCTAGATGCCATTCCGGGTCGAGTGACGCTTCTGGTGACGTGTATGCTGACACTCGTAACGATGTTCACCGGAATGCGAGCAGATATTCCTCCGGTGGCCTATGTGAAGGTAAGACACACGAAGCAATTATTTATTTATGGCCATGTTCAATAATTTCCTTCCCTCTAATTAAGGCACTGGACCTTTGGATGGCGGGTTGCATGATGTTTGTGTTCTCTGCGCTGGCCGAGTTTGTAGTCGTCAAAGTGCTGGACGTGCAATACCAATATCAGGTGAACAAGGTACCGAAAGTACTTCCAATGAGGATCAGTGCCATGGAGAAGGGCCAATGTGCCACGGTGGCCAACTGGGAGGGCGGCACGGTGAACGTTCGCCCTCGAAAGCCAACACAAACGCCCACAACCCCGGGACAGGTGTCCCTGCAGGGCAACGGAGGACCTCAACCCCCGCCAGCCAAACAACCAACGCGAAGGCAAAGCATTCTATCGGTGGCGTGGACCGACACGGACACCGGTGTAGAAAAGATTATGTGGCGTGAGATTGATAAAATGTCGCGTGTGATATTTCCGGGCCTGTTTCTCCTATTCGTTATACTCTACTGGCCAATACTGATTTTCAAAACGTCCTGATCGACGATGGAACCATAGACGTCTGGGCTAATAATTTTTCTTATCTAGAATCACCCTTGTCCTATAAACTATACTCCTGCACCCTTGTCCATGTCTTGCTGCTTCCGTCTATTTCTTCTGGTCTAGATAGTCGAGCTATCTGATTTCCATCCACGATGCACCTCAACTTGTAGGAGGGCGCTTGAGCTGGTTTTCTGTTTCGAGACGACCCGGTTTAAAATTAAGTCACCAATTTACGCGGATATCTCGTTTTCCGGTAATATTCAAGATTCCTCCAATCGTAAAAAAAGACAAATCTTATCACAAAAATATGACACAGCTCAATAGAGTAGGGAAAAGTAGGGCTCTTTAAATTGAATCAATTTTAACGTAAGATCAGCACCCTTTTCGTAATGCCTTCCATCTTAAATGGGCTTTCAAATGCTGGTTTGTGTGGACGTGCATATCGGCGTTAGATTGATGCAAAATTTGAAATTTTTGCTCCACAGTGCTCAAAAGGTTTCAAATCAGGTCTTGATAAGCCACCCAAAATTTAAACTCATTTGGTAAGAAACTGACGTGGCACAAACCATTTGAAATTTATATGGAAATTACTATGGGAAAACTAAACATTTTGTGCATAGTCTGCTAACCATTTTACATAGTGGGCACCTCAGCGGGAGTTCTGCCATGCCATCTATCGTACATTTCATCCATCATCTTGAATCTGCTAACTTTATTGCTTCGACTTGAAAAATGTTTTATTGTTGAAATTTGTAACTGATTATGATTTAACTTGAAAAGACATAGAGGTTTTGTGCCTACGGGAGAAGAGGTATTTAAATTATTTTCACTCCCGCGGGTTTCCCCTCTATCAATAAAAAAAATATATTCAACACATCATAATTCCTTCCTATTATTCAGCTACGAATGTAACAACGATGGTGAGTTCACCATGTTATATCTTCATTTTATTCCAGCAGACAGTAATTTCAAATTTATAAAAAAAATCTACATATGCCAGCAACACTGACTGGGCTTACCTTCCCTACTAACATAATTCCTAAATTCCCGAGACATTTATGAGGGGCCGTAGAGTTCTCTGCATCTCTCTTAAGTAAATGTTGGACTAACATACCTTTCCTATCCCTACCAGTTGTAAGGACGTGGCCAGGACAATCCTTAACTGTTGGAGCGGGATGTTTCTTTATCTGGGAGATAGTATTTATTTCCTACTTACTATCTGTCCAGTTACAGAAATCCGTCTTGCTCTTAATAGTTTTGAATTCGTACCACCTACGATATTGTGCAACTTGTTCGATGCTAATGCTAATGCTAGTCTTCTAACCATTTTACATAGTGTGCAGTTAGAAGGTTCTATCCTTATTGGAAATTTTCTCAGCTACAACTTTGCCGAATATTGTTTTTCAGCCAATCGTGATATCAAATAGTTATTAATTGTTTAAGATATTGATAATCTCATGGTATGATGAAGCAGCTGTTCTGGGGGCAACACTGAATTCTGCTGTGTGACATAGTAGCCATGATTTTTCTGCTCTATTCTACGCGCCAGAAATACCAATGTTGCCTGTTTAACAGATGATTGAGCATAGTCATAAGACATCAGTGACTTGAAACATGAATAAATTTTGTTCCTTACATTTGATCGAAAAGTGCTCTTGAGAAAAGTTGTAGCTGAGAGGTTTTTTCCCATAGTAATTTCCGTATAAACTTCATAAGGTTTGTGACAAGTCAGTTTCATAATAAATTAGATCAAATATTGGGAGGCTACTCAGGACCCAATTTGGAACCGTTTGAGCACCGTGGAGCGAATATTTCAAATTAGGCATCAGTCGATGGGCGTGTGTGGTAGTGTGAGTGTTTTTTGTTTGTTTTATGGTAAGGGGAAACTTTTAAAAAGCCATAGGGAGGGGTACTGCTATTGCAGATGCCCCGTGAGTGGGGCTCTTACCAACCAAAACCAATGTAGCTCTGACAATATTTGGATTACTTTCCTATTTATGGCATTCCAAGTTTTTTTTTCTTTATTACCGTGATTTTTAGCCGTAGGCTAGTTCATCACGTTATACAGCAGATGGTCAGGCTAGATCCTGCCTAAAAAATAGGTTTCAATTTGACATGAACGTGACGTATAACCGGCTCTGATTACCCAACGAATGAGACAGACAACATTTTAAAAACTTAATGTAAGGTGAGGATTAGATCGGGGCTGTGGTGAGGACTGGGTGCGCGAACAAGGTAGAACTCCACCGTTGGAGACAGTGCCCGGTCCGGTGGAGAAACCCCGACGGCAGAAAAAAAAAATAGAAACGTGAGGAACACACGATCAATGCAGCCACCGACGGGGGGCTAGATTTGGTCATACAAGTGGGCTTCTTTCAGAAAGGCGATCAGCGCAGCCAACGTCCAGGGTTCGTAACCAAGCAGATTACTGACGTTCTCCGGGATTCCATGTTGTTCGTGTAGCTTGTGGAACTCCGGGCAGACACACAGCACGTGTTCAACCTAGGCGGGGATGCTGCAGATTGAACAGACCTTGTAGAAAGGTGTCCCACCAAAATTACAGGAAATCCTCGCATGGCCGGTCCAGAGTCTTGAGATGATCCGCTGGTCCTTGTACTTTTGGCTGTCCGGCCAGGAGCGTACGGTTCCCTTGATCTTCCTCAGGAAAGTGGTCCGCGACTGGAACCATTCCTGCTGCCAGGCTTCCATAATGGTATTCACAATCCAACGCCTGACGTCGAGGAGGGGTACGTTCCTGGTGTAGCGGGGACGGTATGCGCCAGATCCCGCCAGTCTGACCGCAGCCTCGTTTCAGGGAACACCGCTGTGTCCGGGGATCCACGTAAATACTGTTGAAGGTGGGGCGTACCGTGTAATGGCTTGTATCCAGGGGTGGCTCGGGGCTTTGGCTTCCAGCGCATGGATGATGCTGTGTGAGTCAGTTAATACGAGGATCGGTTGATCTGCCGGAGTGATGGCTGCGTCTAGAAAATCTGCGGCTTCAGCGGAAAAGACGGAACACTCCTCCGGTAGACTTTGACTCTTTGCAGTACTCGGTCCTGCCACTCCGAGTCCAACTCCAGCCCGCGACCGCGATCCGTCCGTAAAACGATGAACGTGCCCCTGATAAACCGACCCGAGAAGCTCTGCAACAGAAAGTCTCAAAGCTACAGAGTTATCTCCGGCTTGGAATCCACTCTTAATCCGCTTATCTATTTTGACGACGTTTGATCGCCAACTCTTCTCTCCATGCCAGTGGACCCTGGCCACCGGGGGAAGATCACGGTTGGCTGCAGTGCAGAGGGCTCTGTTCCTCACGTTGAGGAGAATGACCCTTTCATTCCCGGATGTCTTAGCAGCGAGGGCAGCGGCTTTCGTAGCAAAGGCTGCAGCAGATCGATAACGTTAAGAGAGGATTCCGATTTCCACACATGCGGCGTCTGCAGGCGTGGAAGGGAGAAGACCGGATACGATGCGTACGTAGGTCTTGTATACCGGAGCAAGGGTGTGGTTGAGCTTCTCGAAGGCTAAGCAGGTTATTTCGAGGCCGTAGAAAAGTCGACTGTCGATAACAGCCCGAGCGACACGAAGGCGGATCTCACGGTGGCTGGAGCGATGCGGGAGGGAGATTGTCCTGACTATGTTGATGCGGCTACGACAGTTTTCTTTCACCATCCTGAAGTGCTGGTTGAAGCTTAGGGTGCGATCCAGTACTACCATAGAGGTAACTCTAAGACTAAAAGGTCGCGAATTAACGTGCTCAACTTTTTGGCTCAGCTCTGGTACTCTCTTCGGTCCCAAGCTAATCGATTCACCCCTCGAAACATAGGAAAATCCACTTACCCCTCATTTTATCTGTCAAACTTTCATAGCGAATCAAAACAAACATTGCGTAGTACTAGAATTTTGACTAGAATGGTATACGTTAATCGTTTGCTTGGGACCAATAGGCTAGTCAAGTAGTGAGCCAATTTAAAATCGTTAGTTTCGTATTGATTGTTGGTACTACCAACAATCAATACGAAACTAACGATTTTAAATTGGCTCACTACTTGACTAGCCTATTGGTCCCAAGCAAATCGATTACGTACCCCATTCTAGTCAAAATTCTAGTACTACAGTATGTTTGTTTTGATTCGCTATGAAAGTTTGACAGATAAAATGAGGGGTTAATGGATTTTCCTATGTTTCGAGGGATAGTACCAGAGCTGAGCCAAAAAGTTGAGCACGTTTCTTTGGGATCTACTAGTCTTAGAGTTACCTCTATGGTACTACCCCCAGAACACGCACTGTTTTCTTGAGCGGAATCGGGTGATCTTGGATGGTGATCGGTTGTCCTCGAATCAGATGGCCCGAGTGACAGATATGGCACCGTACACTCTTGGGAGCGGAGAGCTGGAAACCAACCGAAAGCGCCCACCTGCTGACGGCGGAAACTGCTGCTTGAGCTATGTTCCTGGTCCGCTTAGTCGTTCGTCCCGTTACTACGATGAGTATGTCGTCGGCATAAACGATTACGTGTACGTTCTTGGGCAATCGGCTGAATACCCCGTTCATTGCCACCAGGAATAGCGTTACCGCTATGACGGACCCCTGGGGCACTCCAGTTTCTTCGGGGAACGGATCCGAGCGAGGCTTCCCGACGGTCACCTGGAAGGTAGGATCAAGGAGGAAATTCCATACAAAATGTGTGATGTGACCTTCCAGGTCCCAGCCGATGAGCTGCTTGATGACACCTGGTGTCCATGTCCTGTTGAACGCCTTTGAAATATCAAGAGAGACTAACTCCGCATGGTGACCGTTGTCCTGGGCTTCCTTAAGTACATTCCCGAGGGCTGCAAAGTAAGTGGAGGAGCCGTATCCTTGCCGGAACGCATACTGCCATTCGTCAAAGAGGCCGTTTGACTCCAGGAACTGCTTAAGACGACGATTTACCATTCTCTCCATCACTTTTGCCGCGCACCAAGTGAGCGCAATCGGCCTAAAGGAGGAGGCTTCTTCACTCGCCGTGTTGTTCTTCGGAATGGGCACAACCAAGCTTTGTTTCCAGAGGTCCGGATACGAGTCAGTGAGCCATAGATCGTTGAAGAGGGCGAGTAGCCTCGTTTTTCCGTCGAGGGAGAGGTTTTTTAACACCGGGTATCCAATCTCGTCAGGGCCGGCAGATTTACCACTACTGCTGCCGAGGGCAAATTGGAGCTCCCGGAATGTAAGAGCTCGTTGATCTGAAGAGCAGGAACATCGGATGGAATTCACAATTCGCGAATGCTGCTTGTGGAAGGTTTGACTCACTGGACGAAATCGCTGTCGTAGCCACTGACAGCAGACAGGCCGGCAAAATATTTTCCTAATTCGTCGGCGATGTCCTTCTGTTCTGAGATCGAGGTGTCATGAGCTTGGATAGTAGGTGGAGTAGACCGCCGCTTGCCACTCAGAGCGTTGACGCGATTCCACAATTCACTCGACGATTGGGATTCGTCGATTGAATCCAAGAAATCCATCCAACTAGATCGCTTTGCGTCACGGATCACCTGTCTGCACGAGAGATGGCGTTCTCGGTAAAACTTCAGCGCTTCCTCCCTCCCAGGGTCGTCTA